TGTGTGAGACTCGTGATCATTGTGTGCAAGGATGATGCGTGACATGTACACACTTGCGTGAGATGGTCTTTAGGACCCATGCAAATTTGGTATCGGAGCAGATGCTCGCTGCACTCATAGCGCTGGCATGATCAAGGCCGGCAAGAAGATGTGGTGATGGGGGAGTAGTGAAGGAGGGAGGAGGAGAAGAAGTGTTCGATAGTGGGGGAAGCAGGCCGAAGAAGAAGAGGTGAGAGTTACTTACGTGGAGCGTGCGGAGCGTCGTGGAGCGTGCGGAGCGTCGTGGAGCATCATCGGCGGTATCTTCAAGAAGAGAGAAGCACCTCCTTTCCCTGAACCTGCATCTATGTGTGTGTCCCCTACCTTCTCTCTCTCTGCCCTCTGAAGGTGACTGCTGCTGGACTGGAAGTCAGGACTGGATCTGGATCATCGTAGTGTGTCAGAGTCTGAGTCGTCAGAGTCTGGATGATCCGAATGCAATGTGTCCTGGTCACACTAGATTAGGTGGTCCAGTGTTTTGCGAGTAGGAGTAGACTTCTCTCCTACCCCTCTCGATAGGCAGGTTGTGTATCGTCATCAGGGACTAAGAATCGATGTGGGAAGTGGCTATATGCCACGTCGGACTGCAAGTACCAGGCAGCGCAAACATGATGATGAGCATTTACAGGGCCAGTTAAGCCCGAAAGAAAGAAAAATGGAGTAAAATATTTCTGCCTGGTTGATTAAGTGAACCATCATCTGACCTTTTTGCGTTGTACTCCATACCTGCATCAGACAGCCAGCCAGTTAGTATAAACCAAGCATCTAGGGGGAAGTATAAATACAAGCAACACATTGCAGGAGTTTGATCCAGGAAGCCAGACAACATTAAAAGAGAAAAAAAAAGAGATATATACATTGCACACGTGTTGATTTCAGATTGATTGAGTGTTTATCATACGCAGCACCTTCTACAGTCAAAAAAAAAAAAAAAAAAAAAAAGGTGTAGTACTCCATCTACCGCAAGTCAAGACTGAGTTCGGAGTGGGATAGTACTGTGGTGATCCGGCGGAGGACCCCCTGTGCCGGTCGTTATCATGGATGACTACCCCATCCAGGGCCTGTTGGCCCTTTCTGTCTTATTGGGGCCGATGTTCCGGTTTATCTTCCCACTGGGATTCGGGAGAACCTGCACCTCGAGGATGCTTATGAGGTCAGGAAGTGTTAAGATTGGCCCCACACCTGCGGAACAGGCAGAGATTGACCGCAGGCTGGCAGAAAAGAAGAAAGAAAAAAAAGCTAAAAAGAAACAAAAAGAAGAGGAAGCAAAAAAAAAGTTGAAAGAGAAGATGGATAAGGAGTTAGAAGAAGAGTTGAAAAGTATACAAGAAGARGAAGAAGAAGAAGAACAGGAAGAAGGAGAAATGTTGGAAAGACGTCGTCGCCTGGATATACCAGAGAGTAGTACAGCAAGCCGGCTCCCCGTTGAACCATTGAATTGGGCTGATCAATACTATTACTCCAGCGAACTACTAAAGGAGTCTGAGGAAGAACGTGATGTGTTCCTCGCCAAGTTAGCCACGATAACTGACACAGTCGAACGAAACTTGATAATGGAAGAAAAAAGGGCTGAGTTGAACAGTAAACTGCTAGCGGTCAGAAGACAAGAAGTGGATGAAAAGAAAAGACTGCAGGCATAAGGGGAAAAACTGCAAAAGGCCCTAACAGCCCAAAAAGAAAAACCCTCTGCGACCGAAGACCAGCTGGCTCTACTCAGAGAGGCCGTCCTCAAGACAAGGCAGGACATGGCCTTGATGCGTCAGACCCTACAAAGGGTAGAAACACATCGGGTTGAGTTTGAAACGGTCTGGAACAACATCCTAGAGAAGTCAACTAAAGATCTGGACCATCATGTTCAGACGTATATCAAGGCTTTGGATGACCATGTCACTAAGACCTTCACTCCGGAGGTTATAGAGAAGATTGTAAAGGGCGCTGGAGGCGGAGGAGGAGATGGTGATGACGATGGCGATGATGAGAAGAAGGGGAAAAGAAGGGGGGATCCAAAGGAGAAACTTCCGCAGGAGACCGGGCAGGTTAGTAAAATAAAACTCAAACTGCCGTGGACTTATAATGGAAAGAAGGAAGAGAGTGTTTTGCATTGGGCAGCGATAGTAGAAACCTACGTATATGGGCAACGAATCCCATACTGGGACAGGGTGCTAATGGCAAGTTCATGTATGGGAGGTGACGCACTGAGCTTCGCCATCTCGCTGCAAAAGGAGGCGGGATGTAACTCGATGGTAGAGTATTCGCAGCAAACGCGAATCGAAGATTTTCTTAAATTGGTTAGAGAAAGATTTGAGGACAAGAATTTGGCACGACGTACGGAAATGCTAATCCTCAACCTCCCTGATAGGAAATGGAAAAACACCTCCGCCTTGAAGGCAACTATGGATGAACTGTTGCAATGCCCTGATCATGGATTGACTCCTGCCCAGATCTTAAATAGCTTTGCACGAGCACTCCCGGATCCCCTGAGGACACAACTCTATCCCCGCGTCAAAGAAAAAGGAATGACGTATGAGAAGTTCGGCAAGATTGCAATAGATCACGCCGGCTTCCTCGCTGAAGCGAACTATTGCCATTATTGAAAGGATCTGCAAGCGGAAAAGAAATGGCAAAACCGCACGATCTCAGGGTCGATACCTGGGAAAGACAGTCTCCTTCTAACCTTTGAGGAAGGAGGCGCCGAGACCATTTATTGGGATCAAGTAGATTATGGTCTCGACGAACGCAACAGACCGATAGCTCATGAGGGGAGTTACGCTACCGTTGTAGCCCGCGGGGGAGGGCGTCAAGGAAGAGGGCGTGGCCGAGGAAGAGGTCGCGGTCGTGGTGGACGAGGATTCGGCACCCAGAGGGGTGGTGGTGAAGGAAGCCACTACGTTGGAGGAAGGGGAAATGGTCCCTCACAAGGTGGTCGTGGTTCTTACTCCACTTGGGGTAGAGGAAGGGGCACATGGTATAACAAGTGGGACAAACCGTACCCACCACATCCAAGCCTACCCGAAGGAGAGCCTTGGAAAAAATTGGGAATAACAGAAAAAGTCTTGCAAGAAAGGAAGAAAGCAGACCAATGCCTCAAGTGTGGGGACCCCGACCACATTGTCCCCTATTGCCCTGACTATAGGGGGGCAAAAGGGAACAGCCAGTAGAGGTGCCAGTTGCCTCTACCGGGGCTTCGAATGTTGAAAAATCGTAATCCTCCCATTCGAAGGTCCCACTGGCAGAAACTGAAGAGGAAGACAGTCCCCATTTAGTCCACTGTCCAGAAACGGCAAACGTATGCGTCTCTCTAGGTGGATCCCTCGCTGGCGTGGGTGATGAGTTGGCCGCTCGTCGCCGAGCGAGGACTGAAATGAGAAAAAAGAAAGGACAGTTAATAATTGCAGATCTTGAAAACAATCGAGTAAGAGTCGGAGGTATGATCGACAGTGGTTCTACACGCAGTTATATCAGTAAGAAAGGTTTGCAGAAACTGCGTCTTAGGCTTAAGGTTAAAAGGTTAAATGAGCCCATTGTAAGTAAGTTAGCTAATAGCAGTGAAACCGTTATGGATCGATATGTCGAGGGGGTTCAGGTATACTTTCGGCTAGAGGCAGAGGGGAAGGTGGAACGTGTTCTCCACTCTCTGACCTTCTTGGTGGAGGATAACTTGCCCTTTGATGTGTTGCTAGGAATGGATTGGGGTGAAGCTGCTAATGCGGATTTAAAGTTGAGGGAACATAAATGTTGGCTCCCAAGTCCGCAAGGAGGTAAAAAAAAAATTCGACTCTATCATGAGTCTGGAAAGGAAAGCAGCCTAGCTCATTGTTGCATGAGTGCCCCCGCGTTCGCTCGCCATGTACGGAAATATAACTTGTACGATCAAGTCTTTGTTGCAAATGTGCGCCAGTAAAGGAAGAAGAAAATAAGGAAGAAGTCAGGTCTCAAGAGATTGAGAGAATCTTGAAAGAGTTCGCAGATGTGGCTGAAGCCCCGAGCGGTGTAGTGGAAAGACCCATCAGGCATCGCATTGATATCATTCCAGGGAGCGCGCCCCCGAAGGGGCCTATCTATCGTATGTTGCCCCAGGAATTGGATGAATTGCGAACCCAACTCGATGAGTTGCTAAAGAACGGATGGATAAGACCTAGCTCCTCGCCCTATGGTGCGCTTGTGCTCTTTGTGCCTAAGAAGGATGGCGGCGTTCGCATGTGTATAGATTATAGAAGGTTAAATGATATAACGGTAAAGAATGTTGAACCATTACCGCGCATAGATGATTTGCTGGATCGCGTGCAGGGTAGCAAAATATWTTCAAAGATTGATTTGAAATCCGGCTACCATCAGATTGAGGTTGAGCCGGAAKACCAACATAAGACTGCCTTCAGGACAAGGTATGGGCATTATGAGTTCATAGTTTTGCCCTTTGGTCTAACGAATGCCCCTGCCACTTTCCAAAGAACGATGAATGAACTATTTCGTGAATGGCTTGACAAGTTTGTCGTTATCTACCTTGATGATATTTTGATTTTTAGCAAAAATGAAAAAGAGCATGCTGAACACCTTCGACTTGTGCTAAATAAACTGCGAGAAGCAAAACTCAAGATAAACCCAAAGAAGTGGGAATGGGCTAAGCGTCAGGTTCTATATTTAGGACATGAGATTGACGGAGATGGGGTCAAACCGGAAGATGCTAAAATAGCAGCAATCAGAGATTGGCCGAACCCCCGCACCCTGACTGAGTTGCGGTCGTTTCTTGGGTTAGCCAACTATTATCGCAAGTTTGTAAGAGACTTTACGATAATAGCTGCTCCTCTTCGCAGGTTACTTAAGAAAGAGGTAATTTGGAAGTGGGATTCAAACTGCACAATGTCTTTCAAGCGTCTGAAAACGTGTTTGATTAACTATCCGGTTCTAAAAGTGGCAGACCCTTCCTTACCTTTCGTGGTCACAACTGACACCAGTCAATATGGCATAGGTGCTGTACTCCAGCAAGACGATGGGCATGGATAGAGACCTGTGGAATTTATGTCTTGCCGATTGCCTAATGAGAAAGTGGCGACATATGAAAGAGAGTTATATGCTCTTCGCGAGGCTCTCAATCATTGGCGACACTATCTTTTGGGAAGGCATTTCAAGGTATACTCTGACCATGAGACACTTCGCTGGCTTAAAACGCAGGCTCGTATGACACCTAAGTTAACAAGGTGGGCTGCGGAGATTGATATGTTTAATTTTGAGCAAAAGCCAGTAAAGGGTAAGTATAACGTTGTTGCTGATGCACTAAGTCGTAGATCTGATTTTTTCGGTGCCATTGTGATATATTTAGATGTTGGTGTCGATCTTCAAGAAAAGATTAGGAACGCGTATCCCTCTGATCTTGTCTATGGAACCATAATTAAGCGAGTGCAAGAGACGCCAGCAGAGTTTCCTGATCACAAGGTTACTCAGGGTCTATTTTTGAAAGAACAGATGTAAATAATAGGCTATGTATACCAAATAATGAAGAGATCAAGAGTTTGATCTTAGGGGAATGTCATGATACAGAAGGCCATTTTGGGTGGAAGAAAACCTACGTGACTTTGTTGCGTTCCTACACCTGGCCTCGAATGAAAGCAGACTGTATCGCGTATGTGCAAGGTTGTCAAGTGTGCCAACGAAACAAAAGCACCACACAATCTCCCCTTGGGTTACTTAAGCCCTTCCCTATCCCTACAGGCCCTGGCGGTTCTGTATGTATAGACTTCATGGATACTAAAGTGAAAAGCATAAATGGAAAAACACAAGTAATGGTCATAGTGGATAAATTCACTAAGTATGCTGTTTTTTTTGTAGCTTTGCCTTCGGAAGCAAAGACTGATTTGGTAATTCGAGAGTTCTTCAACCATTGGGTAAAAGATTTTGGGCATCCCTTGACTATTGTCAGTGATAGAGATACAAGGTTCACGAGTGAACAATGGCAGCAACTAATGAATGTGTATGGCTCTAAGTTGACTATGTCATCAGGTAGGCATCCTGAGACTAATGGCCAGACTGAGCAGATGAACAAGATATTGCAACAGACTTTGCGCATGTATATCCGTCCCGATCAAATTGACTGGGATGAACATCTGCCTAAGGTTGCTAGTGCCTACAATAACTCTGTACATCTATCTACGTGTAAGACTCCTATGAAGTTACACCTGGGATGGCGTCCACGCAGGCCCATTGATCGATTAAACCCGGATCAAGTACATAAGCTTCCTTTAGGAACGAGTGAATCTGCAATTCAGTATCAGAAAGACATTGAGAAGGTAAAGGAAAATATACTTAAAGCACAACATCAGATGATTGAACAGGCAAATAAGCATAAACGACCGTCTCAATTTGCTAAAGGAGACTTAGTTTGGGTGAAGTCTATGGAGTTCGCGCTAGAAGAGAACATTTCTCAAAAGCTCCTACCCGCCTACAGAGGGCCTTGGCAGGTCCTAGATGTAATTGGAGATGTGGATGGCCCTTCATATGTCATTGAGATTCCTCTACATTTACATACTTATCCAGTGTTCCACGCATCAAAGCTCTTACCTTGTGTGACGAATGAACTCTTTCCAAGTCGCCGATCAGCGATACCTCAAAGTATGGATGGAAAGTATGAGGTGGATAAGATTGTTGCAGAAAGTACTTATCACACTGGACGTAGAGGCGGACCACAGCGTCAATATAAGGTGAGATTTGCCTACCAGGATCCTAGTGAAGATTGCTGGTTCACAATAGAAGAATTACTAGATTCTGCACCTCATATTGTGTCTGCGTATGAAAGAGGAAAGAGAGGAATTAATATCATTGATAGGTAAATGATTTCTTCGAGGACTTCGAAACTAGGCCGGCGAGAGTAAAAAGGCCTTTACCTGTTACATGCCTTGTAAAAGTAAAGCAGCGTGAATGGGTATCTCGCCAGGACCCAGAAACGTGAAAGCAGGTCAAAGGTCAAGTTCTCTATCAACGGGCACATCCTAAACCAAAGCAAAGGTCATGGTTAAAGGACTTACCTATTCGCCAGGAGATGCACATGTCCTGTTTGTTCGGATAAGGGTGTGTCTGTACGTGCAGTCAGTGTGTCTGTTCACACAATGTGAGTGTTTGTTCAGGCAGTGAGTGTGTCTGTTCGTCTAAAGTTGTGCCTGTCCGAAAGTAAGTCAATAGGTAAAGTCCCAGTTCTGGTCTAAGTCGAGAAGACAGTCCAGATCCAGACATCTAAAGTCCAAATCCAGGCCGAGAGGCCTCAACAGCAGTTGACTTCATTAGGACTGTACTGGGACACATGCAATGCAGGGTCTGGGACAAAGGAAGGCTTGAAGCAGCTAAATGCAGACCCAGCGAGGAGAGGCGAGCACTATAAAAGCAGCAGCCAGCCTCATTCCTCGCCAGATCTCCACTGGCATTCTATGCGTGGAAGTGCTGAAGCACTTGTGAGCCAGTCAGTA